TCTTCTGGAATATATATATGCTGACATGAGATGATGAAAGGAAAAAAAAAAGAGAGAGAGGAAATCTATAAAACTAACAAAAAGTAGTATTTATGGATGCCATGGAATTGTTTAGTTGACAAGCTGCTGTGCACAAGCCCATACATACTACAGGGAATGTCCTAAAGGATTTAGTAGCAACTAAAGCAGCACTTTATATATCTCTGTAGAAAATCGTATTGAAAGTGTTTGGATGTGTTTCACAAAAAAGTCGTCTATCTTCACAAAAGTCGCTATTAACCAAACCAAATTGTCAAAGGCACGACCTAATATCCGTTTTGAGTTCTCTGCGTCATGCTTTGTTTGTAAGTCTGTTATTAGTGTTGCGTTGTTGACTCGAATGGTAGAACTAGTTGTCAATCAAAGTCCAATTATATTTATTTGTGTTTGTCAAAGAACATTTCAAATAAAAGTGGAGACACTTCTATATAATTGTTGATATAAAGAATGGACAAATTGTCATTGTTGTTGCAGTTGTATATAGAAGTGTACACATTGTTATAACAAACATAAATATTTTTACTTGTACATTGAGTGTATTGAAAAAAGAACACTCTTTAAACCTGATATATCCAACCCACTCGACGATATAACAAAGTGACGATTCCATGACTTGTGTTAAGTCAACAAATAAGTCGATTTGTTTCTTTTCACTAACATCAGAGCTGATTTCTTGAATGATTTCAATGATCTTAGAAATTGATGTCTCCTGAAAAAGGTGTACATCTCCCATTCAATGTAAAATACTCCATCTATTTTTTGTGGAAAAAAAAGTGACAAGAAATTCATTGGTTTAATCAATTACAAAAAAATGTACACTGAGGATATCTATTCTTTTGATGTTTTGTGAAGTCAACAACAACATGTTAACTAACAGAGCTTTTTATAGTTCCTTTTGTTATATTTTTTATTGTAAATATTTTATTCAAATAATAAACAAACTTTTTGGCACTTAAAAAAAACACTATATTAATAATAATAATACTTTGTTTTAACGAGATATTTTTTATTCTTTTAGTGTTTTTCCCTTTTTGGGCTGTGTGTTGTAATACACATTATAAACTTTTAGAAACGGGAAAAAAACTTTATAAAATCAAAATTTCCCGTTTTTTAGACATTTGAATTATGTTCAATGTATTTTTGAGTGTTAATGACGGTGTTTTGAATGTATTTTTTGTTCCTTATTGGATTTTTTAATTATTAATATATTTACAAAATAATATTGAATGGTTTGTACAATAATATTTATTTCCACTTCGATAATGATAATGAATTAATGTTTGTCTCCATCAATTAAGAAGCAATAAAATGGAATAAATGTGTTGATGAATAAAAAACATTAACTATAAATTGTATAATTTAATAAATTAAGTAGGATTATAATTAATTATAATGGTTTTAATAATAATAATAATTAGGATTACCATAAAGATTAGCGGAAAGCTTCC